TCATTGTCACTAATTTTTTTAAAAAATGTAGCATAAGAACTGTTTATTAGTTGGAATAGTTCATGACTATTCTCACTTTGTTGTAAAAGCACTGTATGACCCAAATGAGAAAACATTTTTTCTGCAAATAATTTGCACAGATCTAAACTGCCCCGGTTCAAATGAATACAAATTCATTGATTTTCATAGAACTACACCTGTTTATGTCAGGACTCTGTCTAGCTGTACAAATCTCAAACTCAGACAAACAGTAACATATCTTCTGTGTGCAAATTGTGTATATTGTTCAGCTTCAACTCTGTCATGAACCCCAGACTGCAGCAGAATACAAATGAAAAAACAAGCTCACTACTAACAAATGCTATCTGGGCTTAATACAGGCATTTGACAAGGATTATTAATTATCTTTTGAGCAGCATGAGAAAAAGGATTCACCATCAAAAACTACATTGTACACATGCTTCAATAATGGCTACAGCACTCTAAGTCCAGGAGTCTAAAAATTTGTCTTTAACCAGGTTAGTAATCAGCTTCTGTGTCCACTGCCTACTCATCCAAGAGATCGTTTAGTGAAGGATTCTGATAGAAGGCTCAGAGAAAAACCTGGGCTGATTTGCAGCCCTTTGCAACAGACACATTTATCACAGCAAGTCACATGAAGACTGGAGCCAGAATGGAATACATATGCACAGATCCCTTTAATCTTTCCTGCCAGGTGTTTTCCCTTCACAGACAATACAATATGGAAAGGTAAATGCTACACAAGAGCAATAAACTTTCCTTCTTTTGTTCTGTATAAAGTTCTGTAAGCTCAGATCCTTTCCGAAGAACAGAACTTGAGGCTCAAGCTCTGTCTACTAATCACAGTTTAGCAGACTTGTCCACATGGCAATTTAACAGACATAATTAAATACATCTCTTCAGCATGGATGGTACGCAGCCCTATTAATGTTAAGCTAAATATGATTTAGAATCAAAATCTTACAAGACAAATGCTTTCTCAGACAAGCAAGGTAATTTTTTCACTCAAAAATGTGTGTGCTCCTAGGTTGCTCCCACTGCTACAGTAATACAGAGCACATTGAGACACTGAGTTGTAAATATAATATTATGGTGAATAAAAGATCATTTTTTACCTGTGGTTTTCTCTTCAATTAATTTAAGTTTCTTGTTAAAAGTTAACTTTTAATAAAGTAACCTGACCTTTGAAACAAATCCATAGGACTGCAATTTTCTATTAATCTTACAAGCTGGTTGAGACAAACATTCTATATATAATTTAGAACAGGGTATCATTCTACATTTATTCAAATGAGTTGGTAAAATGATTGTAGCACCAGACAAGGTTTTCTTTTTAATGGAGTCTCTACAGGTAAGTAGTTTACTCTCCAATCCCAAAAGCATGTCTAAGGCTCAGGTGACCAGACCTGCTGCTGGCATACAGGAACTTTACTTTAATCAGGCATAAGACTCTAAAGAACAGGGGTCTCTGCATTAGCTGCTCAACACTTGTCTTAATTACAGGTGAAGGACTTTAAAAGGGCAAGCCCACGGGAAGCAAGAACAGAAAACTGGGGTTGGTTGGGAGGTACAAGAGAATGAATGCACAGCTCTGAAATTAAATAAAACAGATTATCAAAGTGAGTATTAATAAAGAAATGTTCTGAGTACAACAGGGGAGACTAAGTATATAATGCAGCAACAGAGTCAAAAAGCAGACTGGGCAAGTCCCATGACCAGCCAGATTCACAACAGTACACAAAACACCAAATGTTAATTTGTATCTGGGCTGGAAAATGTTTCTTTCCGTGCTCAGATAAGATAGGTAAAAACATTTTACATTGTATGTAAGGGCAAGTTAAAGGGTATACTGAAATGTAACCTTTAAACTTCACAATGTAACAGCATACCACTTCCTGTTCAGAGATAGCACTCCAAGATCAATTAATCACGGCTAAGACGAACAAACGGTCAACATTCTTAATTAGTGTTGATGCATTCTCCTCTGTGCCCTCATCTGTCATGAAGATTGTTTAAAAATCTGAGTTATTAGTCTTTATTGAGGAGTGGATCTGGTTAATATCTCTAAGAACAGAAATCATTCATCTAGGCACTATACTCCGGTACCTGATAATTCCTACCCCCTATATAAGCTACAGATAACCACCGCCCTAAGACCATCTTGGCAGCTATAAATCAAAATGAGTATAGCTCCCATGCAACCTGGGTTAATTTTTGTTTACAATATATCCACTGAAAATGCTGGCATGACACTTGAGGAGACTGCTTATAGATTAGTGCAGAAGAAAATACATAAAGCCATCAAGGTGGAAAGGAAGCAAACACATCAATCATATGAAACATGGTAAACCCTCTCTAATTCACACTTAGTGACTAGAAGATCCATTGTGATCACTGAACTTTATCAATACCTAATTTAAGCAAAGATAATAAGTGCACAAAACACAATTCATTCACTTGATAACCACCACAATCTCATTTATACCATACAAATCAAAGTATTTGACAGCAATATATATACAAAAGTTTTGAGTTATTGCATAGAAAATCTAAAACATGAAGTTAAAATTAACAGTGGTTAGTACTACTAAGCTAGTACTACTTGCTTTGCACTCTTAATTGGGTGTGCTTCCCAATTAAGAGTGCAAAGCCAGTAGTACTAGCAACAGAGATATAAACACACTTCAAATATACTTTATATTCAATAAGAATAAAATAACACAACATAAGTTACTAGGAAAGCCAAATTTAAGGTTCAATATCAGCTGTAAAATTCAGGATTATTAAGATCTTATGACTTAGAATTAATAAGAAAAATTGGGTCTACATTAAATTTCAAATTAAATTCCTTCTGTTGTTCATCAAATCCACAGACAAAAATCTGGGGAAAGACAACAGATAATTGAACATCAGTGCAGGAAGTAGGTCTGGGCAAGATCTTCATTCAAATCAGCTTTCTACTCTCTGATCAAATGTGTAGGACAGCCCATAGAAAAAAAAAGAATAAAGGTACAGGAAGGAAAAAAGAATGAAAACTGAAACTAAGCACCCAGAGGGAGCAACAACAGCTTAAATAAAGTCCTGGTCTTACAACAGAGATCTGCATTTCTGAAGCTCTTGCTCTCCCAATTTTTTTGAATAAATTAGTGGGTAATGACACACCTTCATCTAAAAAAAAAAGAGAGGTGGGAAGGTCCAGAATTCCAGAATTTAGGTAACAATCCATACTGCTCTACTATTTTCAAATAAATCTCTGATGGATGAGATACCAGCAACTGATAGGAGCTTTTTAAGTAGAAATTACCTTCCCAGTGTTTCGTGAGTAAATCTTAACCTCTTGCAATGACAACAGGACATTTTAATAGTTTGACACCACTCTGAAGCTAATTATCATGCTTTAAACAGACACAGCAGCTTACTGTGTTCACGCTGCTAATCTGCTGCAATGCACAATAAACCAGAACAGTGAAAACAAGCACTGATTCATTTAAATCAGCACTGAACAATTTCTTCAAGTTTTATGGAATACTAGAGAAATCCCCGCAAACTTAACATTTAATAAAATGACTACAAATTGATACTAGAAACTACTAATAAATTACCTATAAAACTGCATGACTTAACAGTAGTAAACAATTATGCACCATATACTGCTATATATCAAATAATTTGCTTTCAGTGACAAAATTACCCAGGGAAATTATGTTCATTTAATAGAGTTCAAGTGTACAGTTTTCTGTATCATATTGTGTAGATAAATATTTTTGTTTTCTTCCAAGCTATAGCTTTTTCCCGAGAGAAAATCCAGGTGTATCTCCCCCAAAATGGAAAAAATACATATGTATTTCAGACAGTGTTACTAAGAGAAAACAGACAAAGAACAGCCCAAGTTAAGTAACCAACTTTAAGCCAAAGTTTCAAAACAGAGGCTGAACTTCCAAATTCTTATCAAGGTATCTAAAGACTGGCCCAAAGCTTTCCAAATGCTATGAATGAAAATAACTGCATTCTTGGCAAATTTTACAAGGTTTTATCAGAAAGAAAGTTAAGTGTTAGAATAACTTGCCTGTGGATATTGACATTTCTAATCTTTCAGCAAGCTTACCTGGATATTTTCCTAAAAGACATGTACAGCTCAAAAAAACCAAGTACAATCCTGAGACAGAAACCACTCACTGGAGTATTTCTTCTGAATGATGCATGAGGTCAAGTAAGTTCATCAATTCATCAAATGGCTTTTCCTGGCTCTTAACCTATTATTGCTCTTGCATTGCATATGAGTGTTTTATCACTTACTAAGTAAAGAAGTTGAACAGAATGATTCCTCCCTAATAATGTGTTAGTACCAGTAGTTTTATGTCTTCATAATATCTGAGAGTCAATTCCATGCTTCTATATAAACACCTTGTTTTGTATTTATGTAACAACAAGAGCCTACTATTAATTTTTTAGTATCGGGGTGGAAGCGAAGCCCTCCTACATATTCTTATCCTACTACAGAATTCAGAAAAGCAATATACTTTCCAAGTCTAAATTTTATCATGCTGAAATAAAAATAAAGCAAAAACCAGTATCCCCTGCATGCTCAACACGTGCAACAGCAACAAACATCCTTGGCATCACATGAAATCAATATTTTGCTGCTTTTCTTTATACACAGCTTCTGAAGGAAAACAAGGCAGCAAGCAGTTCCTTCATCTGCTATTTTCATAAAATGAAAGCCTTTTCACTAGTCACTGTCAGCATTTGTATGAAAACTCACCTAGGAAACCAGATTCTACTTCCAGATGCTCCCAAGGGAACACTGGATATTAAAGATTTGTGGGCATGTATATGTGAAAAAAAAAACAGAAATAAAACACCTCCAAATCAAAGCCAATGTATATATATATATATAAAAATATATACTTTATGTCATTTCTTTGACAGCAAACCACATCCAGACTATTTCAATTAATATGTAAATATGAGTAACTTACTTTTATTTCCAACCAAGGCCACAAGTGGCTGTGTTTCTGATCCTTCATTCACTTTTTTTACCACATTATACCAGTCTTCCAAATTTTCAAAACTCTGGCCATTGGTAATATCATAAACCAAAAGAATGCCCTAAATAAAAAGACACGTTTAAAATGTTACAGATTATAAAAGAATTTAGCATTGTAAGATTTGCATCAGTCTAAATTATTATTGTCATAGAATAGAGCATTAACAAATAGTGGCATAATATCTTTTGAGGCTCAGTTAAAGGACTTATAAATTTCTATACTATACACATTATTACAGTATTTCTCCTGCATTTCATGTGTCCAAATGCATGTTTAGGAAAAAAGTGGCAACACAGTCAAAAGCACAATTAGTTGTATTAGAAATATTACAAACTGCATATGCTTTATGATAAACCCAAAATAGCATTTCACACTAACAGGAAGATAAAAATTACACTGGAGAAGGTATTTTGTTTTAACAAATATTAGTTGCAGCTTCAATGTTCCCTTTTTTGAAAAAAAAAAAAGGCAGTTCAATTGTACATTTCTGCACATTGTCTCTGATGCTTTTGCTGTCTTTTGGGGATAAAGGCCAAATTCCATTCCTTCAGTGTTGCAGAAGATAAGTAAGAAGTACTGGCAAGCTTTAAACTTTCAAAAGAGAACCTAAAAACATGGTGAGAACTCAAAAAGGGCTTCCATATATTTCAGAGGGCTTGGGCCAACAGGTGACAAATACTTAAAGCAGACACTGCTGATGTTTCCTCAGCACAAATATCCAAAAATAAAGCACAGCCTATTAACAGTCCAAATGTCATCCCCGTCCCCTCCACAATTCTAAGATCAGCTCTCAGATCTTATTGAGTCTTCTGCCCCTGCTTTCCACTACACCCTAATGAAATCAGTATCTTGTAAATGAGGAGTAAAGTCAGAACTGGTTTCAGGCACACTTGTTCTCTTGGAGTTCACACCTGGCAAAAAACCCCCTACATCTGCACACTGTTTCTCACAGGAAATTTTCAAAAATATTCTGAAAAAACAGTATGGTCCATACAAAAATAACTGAGTCAATGACCCACTGTCAACAGAAAAGATTTTTCAAGGTTTTTCAGGCTTTTGTCTGGACCCAGTTTTAACTGATAGTTAAAAAGAGGAGTGCCTTAGATCACAAAACAGTGTACACAATAATTTCACATTTGGCAACAAATTAATATAGACTACAAGACTATTTGAGGAGAGTTCAGATTCTATGATGACAAGCAGCGTAAAAATAATAAGATGCAATTCAATAAATACTATGACAAGTTCAAAGGAAGCAATAATCAAGTGCACAATAGGAAGCATCTGGCTCTGTAGCAGGTTCCATATAATAGGATCAAGGAGTTACAGCTCACAGCTGAATATGTCGAGCTTATTTTGCAAATATCACACTTGCATAAAACATTCCAGGTGAAATAATGTATCCATCTTTGGACACTTGAATGTCAAAAAACGGTACAAAAGAAGAAACCAGTAAACAGTATCATAGGTTTGGAAACCATGACTGACATGGAAAAAAGTGGGAAAAGAAACCTGACTGCCTCAACAAACATATGACTTATGGTACGCATGATGATGCTGGTATGAGTTTTAAGAGAAGATGACAGGAGTTCTCTTTGTGTATGTTTTTACACATAATTTGCAGAAGCCACTAAATTGGGAAAACCAGCCAGTGTGCCCGAGGGCAGGGTTACCACAAAGGGGTATGTAGACACACTCAAGGAATGGGTGAACAGGAACCTTTCCACATTCAATAAGGACAAGTGCAAAGTCCTGCAGCTGGGAAGGAATGAACAATACAGGCTGAGGGGGGTAATACATGACTGGCTGGAGAGCAACTGAAAATGACCTGCAGGTCTTGTCAGACAGCAGACCAAATCCAAGCCTGCGGAGACCCTGAGAAGCATTTCCTTGGTTAGAGAGACACAAGAAGCTTCCCTCAAGAGCTGTTCAACCCCATTGGCTCCTTCCCTTGTTCCTATGTCCCTCAGCCATTCCCTCCCTATCCCCCCACTGGCCCTCATCTTTGTTAGCCCCATACCATAGTTCAGCCCCTACCTCTAGATACACAGGGATCTGGACTCTCCCAATGAGTTCTGCCCTTGGACCCTGAACATCTCACCACATGGCTAAATTAAACATCTGTGGATACTATGCAAAGGCCCTTTTTGGTTCCTTACCCTGGATTTTACTAGCAGCTATTCTGGCTGCAACACGAGCCAGCAACATTCCCTGGCAGCAAGGATGGCCAACGTGATCCTGGGCTGCATTAGCAGAAGTACAGCAAACTTTTCTACTCAGCACTTGTTGGATCATATCTAAAAGAACACATCCAGTCAGAACACATCTTTAGGCCCCTCAAGACATCAGAAAAGTGGAGTAACTTCAGCAGAGAGCTAGCAAGATGATCACAGCCTGGAGCACTTGTTTTATGAGGAAGAGATGAACAAACCCAAATTCTTCAGCATGGAGAGGAAGCAGCCCTGGGAAGACCTAAAAGCAGCCTTCCCATACCCATGAGGAAGCAATGAAGGAGATAGAGCCAGACTCTTCACAGCAGTGCACAGCAGGATAAAACTCAGTGGGCATAAGCTGAAATAAGAGAAATTCAAACCATAACTAATGAAAAGCTTTTTCACCATGAGGAAAATAAAGCAGGTTGACCAGAGATTGCTCAGTCTCTATCCTTTAAAGTTTACAAGCAGGAACTCAATAGACCCTCGAGCAGCCTAGCTCCATCTCTCAGTTGACCCTACTTAGAGAGTGTTTTATTTCAACCTCCTGACACCCTTCCACCCTGAACTTTCTTATGAATCTGTGATCAATACAACATGTAGTGATAGGTTTAACTCACAGCAAGAAGATTATAGAAAGAGTACTAAAAACAAGCAAACAAACAAAACAAAAAATCCTATGGAGACTGTAAGAATGGCAAAGCTCTGAAACACACCACCTATAACAGTCACCAACACTGAAAAAAATTTTGAAGGTTGATAAAAGTCTTTACACATGGATAGCTTTGAAGGAGGGTACCAGATCCTATTGAGATCCCTCCAACTTCTACTTTCTTATGGCAGCAATACCAATCTATCTCATTTCCTCCAATGTGACCAACTCCTTGGCAAACCTGAGTTTTTGTTCCTTATATTTACATAGTTGCTATTAATTTCTGAGGAACAGCTTTCATCAGTTCCTTCAGGGAAATTAAGAATTATGACACACAACTTTCCCCTTGCTATCTTTCCTTCTTTACTAATCAAATATAATATTAAATATCCATTTCCCTCCTCCAATTTTGGTACAATTTATTGCCTAATATCTTGTATCTCTAAGCTCTTCTCAGTTAATTCCTCCTGACTATTTTTATAACTACCCAAATGCCTGGGCACTTGGTATTAAATTGTCAAATTAAATTGTCTCATAATCCAAGTTTTGCTCTAGGAAGGACATACTTATATTATTAAATGCTCAGTGGAAAAGAAACTCAATCTAAAGGATAGGATAAGGTAAAGGTTAAAAAAAATGCCAGCCATAATGCTGGAAGTTGTAAATGAGAAAAGAGCACACAGCAATGCTTCTTTCATCAGCTGTCGAGTTCTCTCACCAGTTTGCAGAAGAACAGATTATCTAAACCATCTTCAACACTAATCAAAGTTTGATGGAAAAAAATAAAAAAGTGTGAGCATTTAACATTAGCCAACTCTTTCTAACCAATTCTTCATCAAAATTCTACTCTGCCTCATGTTCTCTAGACAACAGTAGCCTACCTACCCCTTTGGATAAAAGGGTATTCACAGTGGATTTACCATCAAATAAATCATTTAACAAAGTTTGCAACTACAGCTGACTTAACTTCCATTTGGTCCTTTTCTATGTGATCTAAAACACTGCTTCTAAAGCACATTCTTTTCTTGAACTTTTTTTTAGTCTTGTCAATATTTGCTGCACTTGCAAAAAACAACGATGGCAGGTATCATATAGATGTGAAAAAAAGGCAGCATGGCATCCAGGTCATAAAGAATACTTTCTGCTTAGATTTTCACCACAACAGCACTCTATAAGCAACTTAATATATGTAATTAATGAAGGACTAGTCACAAATCCATGGCTAAAATTTATTATATCTTTTTCTTTCATTTAACAGGAAATTCAATAATTGCTTTCAAAAAAAGAAAAAAAATACATCATATTTTCCACAAACTTACAGTTTATGGAGTACAGACCAAGTAGACAGCATAAAAGCTGTTGTTTCCCTATTATGTGTGAGGAATTAAGGAGGAAAATTAACACTGGCATTTTTACACAAAAGTACTGTATTTCCCTGCCATGAGAAAGGTTTGAAGCACATGGTAAACGACATGCCAAGAACAGCACATTGATTCTCTAGTCTCCAGCAACATGGTGAATGGTCCCTGCTTGCATAATTACACTCTACTAAGAGAGACATTTTGCCTATGTTAGTGCACATGTGAGTGCTTTTTGTTTAGGAATTATAGAGCATTTTCAAAAATGGGTCACTGGAAACTGAGAATATTACAGAAATTATTTGCTGCTCCCTGGAGAAAGTAGAGCCTGCAGTACTCCTATTAACAAGCCAATTTATGATGTAGCATATGCCAGATCTTAAAGATAATTTAAGCTAGATATGTGGGTAGGGGCAGCAATTACAGGTAAGCTATGAGAGTGCTTCTGAAAGATTTACCACGCAAACAGCAGCAGCCTTATTTCAAAACTGAAGTGCTAGTATGGAAGTGCTGTAACCAGGCAATATATTTGTACTGATAATCAAAATTTAAGACACGCCAAGTTTATGTCAAGATCTGTCACAATAAAAGGAAGCTAGAGAAAACAATAATTAAAAACATATATTTTCTTCTTCATTTAGCCTCAGCTACCCTCATCCTATGACTGACTTTTGCACCAAGGAACTAAACTTTCAAATTTTCATTCATATTATATAATAAGCCAGGCCAAAATTCTAGAGTATTTTTTCTAGCCACAGAATATTAATTTAGCAAAGAGCAACTTAATTGTTGCAGAAATGTGCAAATGAAAACAGAGTTTTTGTAAATGAAAGCAGCTTACAGTCCACACATACTTAACCACTCCTGTCTGCTGATACTGAGGACGTGGTCACTCAAACACATGTGATTAACTTGCCATAATTGAATTATTTACTCTCTATCAGTACAGCTGTGGCAACTGACTACACAGTTACTGTAAGCATCTCTCAATTCTGAGGTCAATGTGGTATTTTTAAATAGCTTTCAGTCAAGTGTTGATTATTAACACCCTTTATTTACAAAGAACAAAGGGCTCTTCTTTTCCCCACTGCTTGCACAGTTCTTCTGCCCCACCACTGAAATTCAGCTACCAAAATAGGATGCAGTTCTAAATGAGCACTATCAGAGGAAAAAATGAAAAATGTGCAGGGAGAAAGCAACTGCTTAAAGACAGAAGTGAACTGCAATTTCTCCAACTGCAAACAATGCAACTTCTCATGCTCAAATCTGCCATTCTTTTTTTAAACCATGGCACAAGAAATAGGGGATCTCAATCAAAATATAGCATCTTAACAGTAATCTAACCAAAAGATCTATCTTAGAGAATTGATTAATCTCTCATTAGAGAGAAAGACACCTCTAATGGCAAGTTTTTTGCGGTGAAGTTTAGATGGATGCTCCATTTACTCTTGTTGATGTTCTGATCAAATTTCAACCAAGATCAGTTGAACTGCAGACCATAATCTTTTCAGTTGCTGGAGATTCTCTAAACTTCCCTCTCCAGCTGGCCATAGAATTTTAGAAGTAGGCCATACACAAAAATAAGAATTTAGCAACTTATGTTTTCCGAAACTCACAATGATCAAATAGACAGAAATCTACACAAGGCTATGGGCAACTGCAAATACTGTATAAAGGCACAACACATGCCATAGATATGCTACAAGCAATTCCACACATGTACTTTAAATCTGAATTATTTAGATTTGAAGAACACACAAACACAATTTCTGCTTTGATAATAATCTGCTTTATCTGTATCCATACAGCTTGTGTACTTTATAAACAAGTTCAAAATCTCACCACACATGCTGACCAAGTGCACATCATAGGCAGATACACTTTTTTTGTAGCTACCTTCACTCAAGTTACTTCAATATTTTAAAGGCTCTCTTGCACTGGGGAACCCCAAACTGAACACAGTACTTCAAATGTAGCCTCAAAAATGTCAGAGAGCATGATACTCACTTTCCTTGATTTGATTACTTCATTCTTACTAACATAGATCAGTACTCAATTAGCTTTTACTGTTGCAAGCATGCACTGAAAAGTCCCATTCAACTGTTTTTTTACCTCAATAAGACATCCATCCAAGAGCTTTTTCCTCCAAAACCATTTCACAGAATGCCTGAGGTTGGAAGGGACCTCTAGAAGTCATTTGGTTCAATGATCCTGTTCAAGCAGTGTCACCCAAAGCCAGCTGCCCAGGACCACATCTAGACTGCTTTTGAGTATCTTTGAGGATGGAGACTCTACAACCTCTGTGGTCAACTTCTGCCAGTTCCCCACAAAAGAAAACATGTTTCCTGATGTTTAGAAGGAATCGCCTCTGTGTCAGTTTGTGCCTATTGTCTGGTTCTGTCAACAGACACTAGACAAAAAAGCCTGTTTCTCTCTTCCTTGCACCCTTCCTGCATGGTGTATATGTAGTGATTAGCCTTCTATTCTCCAGGCTGAACAGTCACAGCTCTCTCAGCCTTTCCTCACAGGAGAGATGCTCCAGACCATTAGCCACCTTTGTGGCCCTTCACTGCACATTTTCCAATTGATTCCCAGCTGCATAAGATTATTCTGTACCAGCTGCAGGACTTAGCATCTGTCATCAGCTGAACCTCACAAGGTTTCTGTTGGTCCACTCCTTCTGTTGGTCATGGTCTCTCTCAGCAGCAGCCCTACACTCCAGCACAGTGACCATTCCTCCCCAAACTGGTAATATTGGTAAACTTACAAACAATATTTTGCTCCACTGATAAAAGAATTAGTAAAAGACACAACCCCAGTACCAACCCTTAAGAAATGAAGCTTATAATCAGGCATCAGTAAGACACTGAGCTATAGACTTTTAAATCCAGCTGTCCATTCAGATTTTCAGTAAATTTATGGTCCACCCATTCCACTTGTATCCCTACATATTATACTAATATTATGGGAGATTGTCAAAGGCCCTGCTAACGTTAAGATAAATTACATCCACTGCTCTCCTCTCCACACAGCTAACCACAGACAACAACCAAGTTTGCTGTGCACATTTTAGCTTTACAAACTCCATGCTACCTCTTCCCAGTTACTTTCTTGATGTTTTGTTGTCCATTCACAGGAATTTTTATCCACATTTAAAAGTATTTACCTTTATAAATACTCCTACTTGATCTACTTTGCTTTTCCTCTTTTTCTTATAAAAAGGTACAGATGTTCAACATGAAATCAGCTTATGCCTAGAAATAAGCTGAAAGCAAGCTATTCAAACTATTCAAACTATTCATGTCATTTCATGAATAGACGAAAATGGAGACAAATTTTTGCATCTTTAACAGACACTGTTACAAAGCTAATAGAGAAGTGTGTTAGAATTCAACTTTCATGATAAGAAGCCTCTTACAGACAGTGGCAATACATGCCAACACTGTGAGAGAAAAATCACTAGTCCATTAAAAAAATTGGGTTAAAATGAGGACTGGAGGAAGATTAAAGACAAAGAGGTTGGACATAGGGTTTTTTGGTTAATGTGTTCTGAATGACAAAAAGAAATCAAACTTTAGTCTTATTGATGTCAATTGCTTATACACTTTTGGGCACTGGTATTAACTCTTTGACCTGCTATTTTTGGTAAGAAACTCCTAAGTTTATCACCAAATTCAATGCAGACAAAGCTAATAGCCTTTTATTTCCTTCATTAAATTTACTTTGGACATATGGCAACAATTTGTGATTAATCAAATTCCCTCTGTCAAGGAAGCCACTTTCTCCTATTGCTTTCTAGGTCTGTAACAGGTTAGCAAATCAGGTTTTATTAAAAAAAAAGAATATCCTATAAACAGATGCAACAGCTAAGAACATTGACTTTTTTTTAAAAGTGACAAAATGTTACATGGAAAGTCTGTCTTTATTCAATTAACTAATAAATCCCAATCTGTTTCATTAGCCATTCCTGTGTTGTATAACATTATCTAATAGCACATGTTATGTCTATTGGTCTCATTACAAATTCCAAATTAAGGAACAGAGCACATTTTAGGATCACTCATGCTAAGAAGTTTGGCATTTATACTACATCCTCCTAAATCATCTCATGACTCAAGATGCAGTTATAATACTTAGTTCTTAATCCTACCATCCACTTCAAATTGCTTAGTTAACCTAAAGATAAACTTAATTTTCATTGGACAGGAGTTCTGCAAAAATATTTAGCTACCTGGTTGTCTCCTTTTGTTTGCCCTCTTATAACCCCAGTTGCATGTATGAGTTTAATGGTGTAGGATTGCTCTTAATTTCCTCCTTCTACCTTTTCCCCCCAGGAGGCAGCTGTTCTGAAAGCAGCCACTCTATGTACCATGTGGATATCCAAATAGCCTTTACTATTTATTGTGATTGCTTTTCTTAACTCAAGACACAAAGCCTGGAAACAACCATCTGTTCTTGGGAGTTATTCAGTTCTATAAATGCACGCACTTGCTTTGCTTTTTATGTCAGCTCTAAAAAATTAGCTACACACCAAAATTAAAGTAGCGTATTAATATGAATTAAGTTTAGATTGAACAGACATTCAACGTTTTTGAGATTCATGAATCAATCAACTAAAAGCTATATATAATTTATGTACATATGTATAATTTTAAGAACAAAGTTTCAATTAATTTTATGTCATTACTATAAGATATAATTATCAGTATTTATACTGTACCTGAGCTCCATAAATATATTTATCCAGCATTTTGCCTCCTATTGTTTGTCCCCCTACATCCCACACTTGAAGAGTAACATTCAGATTTCCTAGAAAAAAAATTATACAGATATTGTATAACCTGGAAAATTTCGATACAAATATATTCAACAATAGCTTTTAACAAGCATACAAGAAACAGGAACTAAATTTTGAAACAAAAATTATTGTATCTCTGGGAAAAAAGTCATTTGTGTCCAGCTAAGTCATTAAGATACAGTAAAACTATAGCTAGTTATTAACATATCCAGTATTAATACAAAATAATTGGAATTGCATAAAGTATAACACTCCTGAATAGAAATTATATAACATATTGCACTGAAAAAACATATAAAACTGCATGAAGATGTTCTATAGCATGGTACTTGGAACTGAAAGGTAACACTAATTAATGCCAACTTATCCATATTATTTCATACTGCATGTCCCTTCCTCACCCCCTCTCCAAATATTCCTTACAAATCAAGAAGCGAGGAAAATCTTCATGATAACTTCATTTTGGTAGTGATGCTGATAGCAGTATACAGTCACAGAATTGTAAAAAAATGGAAAATGTAAAATTGTAAAAAAATGGAAATGCTGACACACATCTAAGGTGAGGATGCAAACTGTGATTACTTCCTCCACTCACCACCTTAAGGCATGAAGCTAAACTGAACGTGATTTACATAGTCTCATCTGCAAATAATCTACACCAAGAACAGACCCTCCTTTCTACTCTAAACCATTTTTAAGCTATGTTGAAACTGTTAACAGTTTGTTGGGTTTTTTTTAATTAACAAAAAAATCAGTGTAAATGCAGAATATTTAACATCCTACAAATCATACATATTCTGCAAGACAACACAGCAACTCACAGATCAAAAACATACACAGAAAGGTTCGGTACCACATACAAATATATTGAAGTATATTTTCTCACATTTTGCGTGGTAAGGACTGTTTTCAGAACTGTACTGATTACCCAGGACGACCAAACTATAACAGAGTAAGGACTGACTAATTTTTCACATGACACTTACATGTAAATACAAATTCTACATACTCACAACTAATCACAACTGCCCATTAATTTTACTTCTCAATTAAAAAAATGCAACAAATTTCACATAACAACAATTGCAAATCAAGTGAAAATGAATACATTATTTTGGCTTGCTAAGAAAGATATAATCTTAATTCAACTATTTTATGTAGTTGACAATCTGATTTTACCCCACATGACCCATTCAGCTGTAAATTTGTAAGTGACACACTGGCATTGGTTACACAAGGGAGTGTGCTCCATGGAAATGTATCACTGTACTAGGTGAAAATAACAGCAAATTGTAGCTATAGAGCTGAATATATACTACCAGTGATATTACATGTACCACATTATATTTTTATAATGCATCTTGCTTTAATCTGGTTAAAAGAGCAGATTCCCAAAACTACTACCTTGGACTCAAAAATACAGAGATGAATGTGAAACTGCTATTAAGCTACTCTGAGTTTTATGTAATGCAAGAGAATTTCTACATGGAGCTTAGAAAACACATCATTAACGCCCCAATTCAATCAAGGCAACCTTTTATAATCAACAAAACGCTTAGTTTTGATGGTTCATATACTATGTATTATTAATTAATTATTTCAAAAGCTTAGGACATAAAAAATCACAAACAATGCAGGAAAATCTTCCATAAAGCATCTGGCATGGATAAACTAGTGCATCCTCAGTCTGAAAAGACTATACCTCCTCAGTGGGTAAGCAAACTATGCAGGCTCAAAGGCTCACCATGCTGCAGTATTCTACCCCTATGTATTCTGCTGGAAACTCTCTGTGTCATTCATGACAGCTATTTTGGAAAAAAAAAAAACCTTTATAAATATTATCACTTTCAAAATCAGTAATTTTCAGATGCTCTTAGAAGTTTCAACTTCATTTTTCCTCCTAAGGAAATAATTATGCATAGCATTCTGGCCGTAGTATCTGGATAACTGCATGGAGCAACCTTAAAAATTTTTGAAGTTAAATTAAATAGTCTAACTGTGACTGTCCAACTAAAAAAAATCTCCTATTACAAATTATTTACTCTGCTTCATTAATGACAGAAAAAAGGAACAGGGAGGAAAAAAAGAGATTTGTATGTTCATTTAATGTGAACTCCTTCTTAATTAGAACTTCACTAACTATGAAATTCACACTGATCATCTCTTGTGCAAAATGCTTCATTTTCCCCTTTTTTCAGTAAGGTTCTGTAATACTTGCTTTGTGCTCAGATTGATGCTGGGGAAGAAAAATGGATATTAGGATTATTCTGACAAAAGGAAAAACTGCAGGCAATTTACCTAGTAAGTATTTCATTAACAACTGAGATAGTAGCACTCAACGTTTTCTGAAAGAAGTTTGAAATCTTTTATTTTTTCAATTTAACAGGAACATAAAAACTAGAGACTTGCAACAAAACAAAAAGAAACCATGCATAATAAGACAGTTCTTAGAAACAGTCTTAACACTCCAATAAAAATAACAGAAGAATCCCATCAAAATAACATGTAATACGCTATTAAGAAAAAAAAATCCCCGGCACTTCTTTAGTCTGTAGAAAATGCACACAAGTGCAAAGCTGAAACACACAGCACAGGGCAGGTGTGCAGATTGCTGCTGGCATGGACTGAAGCCACTAAAAGTCATTACACCAATGACTTTTAAAAAAATCCTTTTAACAGGAGAATCCTGTTTACTGAGCTGCACCCCCAACCCCCCAAAAAGTATACAACTATAGCTCTTAAGAGTCTCTGTCAGCAGACCCTGTGACTAACAGATACACTTTTTAATCACTAAAACCTACACCATGATTGCACCCAGACTATACAAGATTCTGCATCAATAAATATAATGAAACTGATTAGCACTTTAAAAAAAAAGTATTTTGAACAAACTGCATGAAGTGAATTTGTCATGTTGAACATTGGACACATGTTGAACAACACAGAACATATTCAAAATTTATCAAAGTATTTCTGATTTGTATTAAACTGTACTGTTTTACCACGCAAAATATTTACTATTTTCACTGAAAAACTGCATTTGTTACTAAAACAACTGGAGACAAATGCCACTTTTATCTTAAAAAATAATTTAAAAGAAAACAAAAAAAACCCCCAGAAAAACGGTATTTTATTTTGTAAGTTATAATATATTTCAATGAAGCCAAATGCAAACAGCTGTGCAATTCTAGAAATCTAATTTTAATTTCTGGAATCTTAGCTTACATTGAAGAAGAAAAAAATCAACTACTGAACCATAATTGTTCATCAATTCTCCCACTGAATAAGAGAAATCGAGTCTTTTTTCCTACTGCTACACATAATTTCTGTGCCGTGGTATCAATTAACCTGTCAAATAAACATAGCAGCTCTGCAAACCCAGAACTAATCAAAAAATTAGAAAAATCCACTTACTAAAGTAATGCTTCCTATTCCAGTGTTTAGAAATGTTATCTCCCTCCCTCTCACTCCCCACAACTAATCCAGTTTACCTATGAACCAGAGAGCCACATATACCTAAACACATACACAGGTATAGGCAAAACCAGATTAACAACCTACAGAAAAATGTTTCTTCCTGAATATGAATACAAATGCTACTGTTTTGAGGAAAACAGATGTACAGACTTTTTGGTGCTATTTTTATCTGCATTCTGATTTTATTACAAAATAAACTATGAATGAATGAAATTCACACACAATATAAACTATGAACAAAAATGAATGAAGCAAGTTGATAATTTTCCAAATTTTCTACTCAACAAGGATATTTAGAATCCCAGTAATGTACTAATAGTTTCTTTATGCTTAATAGCTGGAAAAAAAACTTGCAAAATACAAGTTCTCAGCATGCACACTGCATGGTTTGTGTACACATTCCACTTGCAAGTACTGCTGTTAAGTATTATACACATTGGTATTTTTAGAGGAGTGAGCAGGACAATAAAAAAATTATTTTGTTGATTTTATGGAGAAATAAGTACTGGGATTTGGTACTTTATCATTCACCAGATACTAAAAAGTACAGCAAAATGGCCAAACCAAAATAGTGACCATAGGGGTAGTCTGAAAAGATTATTCTGTTTCACTTAAGAAAATATATAAACATAATCAAGAAATTATTTGCAATATAATTTTTTTTAAAAGAAGTTCAAGAACTGTATGCATTTTCTTATAACTTCAGGTTATAGATAAAATGCTTACTTTCTGGATTTGCTTCCCTTCTCACCCTTCACAAGGAGAAGAGAGAACTTGCATCAACTTTATCAAATCTCACACAGCTCTTAATAATTACATTAACTTTTTCTAACTTCTGATTTCTGAATCCAGAAGTAAATGTTTTTAATTTTTACTTGCATACTTAGAATATGAGCACACACAAATCAGTGAGAAGACATATTTTAAACCCCAATTGTTCAGAGACAAACTTAACCAGCAATTACTATTTTTTAATTATTTCTTTGCATTTTCCATGCAATGTGCTGCAACTGGCATCTAAATAGTTTCTTTGCCGTCGTGAAGAGAAACATCTTGAATGCTCAAACTGTATTTTTATGAGTGCCGAGGGACCCTAAATTTTAGTGGTCTATTAAATGCCAGCAATTTCATGCTGCCTTGCATAAAACAGCATTCACATATTAGAGCACTGCGAGTCCATAGCTGCATTATGCTTCTCCCACACAACTCAAACACGAGTTGTGTATTTCATTTTAAAAAATATGTATTTCTTTCAAAACACATATACTTTTTCAACTAATATGTTTAAAGTTCCTTTTCATTGTTGTGTGTTACACTATCCACGTGGAAAGTGAGTGCACTCAAGCAGGGATTATAAAATTCATCAATATAGATAGCATTCCTTTTACTTGAATTCAGTGTTTTACTTATGAGATGTAAGTTGCAAATGCATAACTCTATGACACCTGGCAAGAAAGTATGAACAAAATATTCTCCAAACAACCTAATTTACTTTGCCATAAAAATCACTGCACTAAGCTTACTTAGTACACATTACTCTGAAGAATTGTGTTTCTGCAAGTCCTGCTGCCACCCAATCTTTCAGTGTTAATTTTTATTCTCTTACCTGGCAATAATATCCTTTTCAAGAAGAAGTCCAGTCCTAAGGTTTGTTTGTACTGTTTTCCAAATGTTTCTTGAGCAAAACGTGTAGCTAAGGATGTCTAAAACAGAACAGTATCAATTAAGTTGTCATTTTTAACAGCAACAAACTTTATGTTAACCCAGAATTATGAAATACAGTTAAGCACTTTTGAAATCAATGAATGCTAACAGTGTTCATGGATTTGGATTGACAAGCACTCCAGTCAGTTTCAACATAATAACAGGAGGTGGCAAAGGCTACTAATTTATGCAAAAAGAAGCAAGGTGCATATTTGCATTGATTTCAAAAGTACTCTAACAGTCCTATTACAAAATATTGTGCAGATTTGAAGGAGGCATCATTAGTATGCTCAAACTGACAAAATCCAGGTGACACCATCTGTACCTGAAGATGTTAGTATTTTTAAAAAGCATTCATTTCCAAAACAAGGGTCCTGCCCTGGTAAGGAACACCATGATCCCAGACCAATTTCTGGGAGAGAATAGAGATCTGCACAGTGCAGAATCCCACAGGAGCTCATAGGTGGGGCAAGATTTCTGCCACTCTACATCAGCTTCAGGATCAGGAATTACAGGAACTCTAAAATGGGAAGAGTCCTTTCTTGCACACAGGAAAAAAAGTTAAACTCATATTAAGAATGCACATTTATAGAATCATTTCTTTCAGCAGAAATTTGAAAATGTATTTCTTCAGTTGGTATTCTGTGGATTTATGAAAGGAAGCTTTTCACTGTTAACCTAATAAGAAGCTTTTATTATATACCGCTGAAAGGATACACAACTAACCTAGGCAAATTACTGAAGCAAGGCACTTACATTCTGTCAGTAGCAATTCAGTGTCTCCATTCAAGACAAGAAAAAAGAGGTGTGGGTAGAAAGGGAAATAAATAAAGAAAAAAGGCCCACAAAAAAAGTAAAGAAGAAAATAGCGGTACAATCATAAATAATTCAAAAGTTTGTATTGTAAAAAATTAATACTAAATATTAAAAAATATAAAATATAACCAACATCAAATTAGTGAACACTTGAAAATCTCTTGTTGACATGACATTTGTAAACAAAAATACAAATTAACTACAGAAAAAAATAATCAAAATATTTCTTTACCTATATAGAGAAGAAAAAATACTAGGAGGCTCACAAAACCCTTACACTGTTTGAGAAAACTTAAAACAGGCCAGAAGATTTTTCTTGCCAGTTTTCCATTCATCAAGCCATGAAGAGATAAGCCACACAACTGTTATCAGAAATTGCTGTTAAGAGCACATTTAATAAAAAAATGCAATAGCAAAATAATGCCAATAGTTCTGAAATACGAAAATAGGCAAGACCCATGAATACAAGGTTATAACAAAGATCTAAATTAGCATAATGGCAAATGTACACAGAAAAACAACCCCTTTTTTTGCATTAAAACATGATCACTAGAGCTCCAGCATTAACACTCTGGTATGAATAGGAAATATTTATTCAACTATTAGATTTCCTATTAAGAAAATAAAACAAGATTTATTGTTTTCATGTTTCTATATCATATTTATATTCCTATCACTGTCATATATATAATGAATGATATTTTCATATCAGAAGATATGTTTAGGAAACAATTCAGTAAGTCAGTGTTAGCCTATGGCAACATTTTCATTAACTTCATTGAACACAAGCCTCAAGAGGATTAAAAATAAAAATAAAAAAAAAGGGGAAAAAAAGCAAGTAAACTAGAAATGGCATGAATACACTTATATATTTATATCCCTGTGGAAAGGGGAAAGACCAGAGAGGATGAATCGTGAGAAGATTCTTCTGCCTTCAGCTATGTGAGAGTAATACTAACAACACACAAAACACACACAAAATAAAATTCAATGCAGATTCAGACTACAGTATTGAAAGAGTCAGTAGAACTGATTCATTTAATCCTAACAGCACAGCAAGATTACAATGACATCTTTAATTTGTCATGACCTTAAAGAGGTAGATGAGAATAGGACGGCACAGCAAGATTACAATGACATCTTTAATTTGTCTGCAGGACAATTTACTGCAGGAATACACCATTTAGTCTTCTTGAAATTTTCCTTTTTAGAAAAGTAACTGGTGCCTAGAGTACAGATTCAAGTATCATCTGACTCTATCATAGTATTCTATATTCTCCAACATACTAATTTAGATCCTCATTAAATAAGTAACCACTCCCTTCTTGTTTTAAAGGCTCAGTAAATATTAGCTTATCATTCTGTGGCACTCAATATTCCCTGAGGACTTCTAGGGCTGTTAGTAAAAAGAAACAACACACATTCAATTAACAGCCAACCTATAAGAGCAGCAAGTAATCAACAGCATGGCAAAGTCCTCTTAAACAGTTTTTCTCCACTGTGCTCTTGAATGCAAAGGAATTTATACCACAAAATCATTTACTAACTCCTTCTTAAATTTTTTCCTAATAAATGTTAGAGCTCAAGGAAGGTGTTGGATTACCAGTATAGGGTCCTCTATTTATTCACAAAACAAGCATTTATCCACAAAATACTAAGAGCAACAGTTCAAACTTCTTTACAAAAATAAACAAAGAAGTTATGTCAATGCATATTCAAGTGGCTCTACAATGCAAATACTCCTTCCAAATCCCAGAAGTGTTCACTGCCATGCTTGCCAGAAAAGATTTTGCTCAACAGTTTTACCTGAGGATATGTTGAATAAAATCTATATAAGAATTAATGGAAGTTAAATAATGGTTCAGTAGAACTGTAGCTGTAAAAATAAATCAGTAGTCAGTGTCCACTTTTTAGAAACGTTGCATTCCATACAACTCCACCCCTTAATGTCAGGGTTAGGAAACAGCACGATAGCATGAAGGCCTTTGTTCCTTTGCAGACAAACAGGCCACCAGCTTGCATAGCAGAATTTCCAGCAAAAATTCCATCAGTTTGGAAGGTTCACACACCTGACTTAAATACTTCAAAGTGAATGTCAACATCTTATTCTAAATATCAATACTCTATTGAAGGGTGGGGTTAAAAAATCCTGTTAAAAACAAGAAAATGTCTTTGGGCTCTAATATACAGCAACCAATATAGAAATTAAAAAAAAAAAGTACAGTATTCTAAGTTCAAAATACACTAGGATATTTGGGAAGTTTTTTTTTTAAAATAAGATGAAATTTAACCTTACATAAAAGGCATGACAGTTCCTTGCTTCTATTTTTCAATGTCAATAATTCAGTATAAACTGAATTTGACAGGCTGTTACTGAAGATCTACATAATGAATAAAGAGGGGGGGAAAAAGCAAAGAATATCTATGAAATAAACTAAAAAGTAATTAAATTGGAAGTCAAACAGAACAAGCAATGGTAGCCAACTCTGACAATGACTACTCATCAGGGTAACCAAAAACTTGAAGGGAAAATCCCACCAATGACAACTCTTTGAGTAAAGTCCTCTAGAATTACGTTTTGAGAAAGAAGTGCCAAAGTGTAGTATCAGAGTTGTAAGAAAGAAAACTAAGCCCAAAATTCAATTAGATGCAAGCACGTACTTCTGAAGCCACGGATTTCCATTCACACACGAACTTCAGCCACAAATTGAAAATCTACAAAAACCACATCCTTTCTCTCACTCCATTCTGGAACATCAATGCCATCACCCAAGCACAGGTACACTCATCCCTCAGCCATGTCCTATCTTATTGGCAACATCAGCAAATCATAATATTCTATCTCCAATCAGCATCCTCGTATATTTCAGTATTAAACCAATCTGTGCAGAAAAAGAGCAGAAATATCTGGCTCATATCATTTTTTTTCAATCCATACTAGTAATGTTGGTTTATTTTAATGTAAAATCATTTTGGCCCAGGAAGAGTGGGTTGAATTAAAACCTAGACACGTAAGGCTGCTGTGTGTATATATGTCCTTCCTACATTAAAAATCCAAAAGCCAACTGCTATTAATAATTGCTGGATTTTTTTCACCTCACATTGTTCCCACTTCTGATTGCTTTTTAGATTGTTTTCCTAGTTTGACTAGTTCATTAAAATCATCCTCTATTATCTTCTGACTAACCGGTCTTGCTTCCCTCAATTTTGCTTTTCCACAGTTCACCATTACCTTACCATCTGTATTTTCCCCTAGGAGTTTTACAGATGCTACTCTGTCTCACTTCTCTTATGCCTTTTTCCACTTTTACTCTTCTCTACTTATGTTTGCTCCAGCAGCGTTTATTGCTCTCTTAAAATTCTAAGTATCCAATTATCAATTCAACCACCTCAAAACAAATTAATAGAAGCACAGCACGCCTCCCTTGCCTCATGGATAGATCAATTCCTAGCTAGTGTAAGTACAAACACTACCTTTAGCTTGAACTGATTTGTTTTTAAGCTGCTACCAATCCTTGCACAGAACCAGAGTCACATTGCTTCTAAGCAATGAGTGAGGAAAACCAGCAAGTTTCCACCTGACCCACAACAACAATTTGTTGTTGTTGTTGTTTTGGAAAAAAGGGAGTAAAAGAGGCTAAATGTGAACACCTCACACTAAACACAAGAGACAGTATTTCAGATATATCCCATCATTTTCTACACACTCCTGTCTCATGATCCCAGAGTGACAGGAAGAGACCTTGCGCAGTAAAAGAGAGATAAGTATGCATGTGTGTAAAGACCAGCTGTGAACCAGATGTGAGAGCCAGGCAATTTAGAGTTGAAAACACAGACATACACAGGTTTCAACAAGTAAGCGGAACGAGCAGACAACTAAAGAGAGGAACCTCAACAATTTAGTCTTCTGAGGTAAAAAATAGCAGTAGGTACATTTTATCCTTCAGTTCCATGACCCAATTGCTTCTTTATTTTTACAAGACCTTACAATAAATCTGTGAGTGCTGCCAGGCCATTGGGATGGTGGGAAGGAGCCTCTATTACAGCATCATCTAGGGGGGACGGGAGGAAAAGCAGCCCACCAGAGTATTGCTGCTGCTCGTGCCCAAGAACCTGCCGTGGAAGCGTGAGATTCCCAGAATCAGCAGGAGATGCAGTGAGCGGCAGCTCTTGTGAAAGAGGCAGGAACCAACAGGAATATACATCAAAACTCAAGAATGCTTGAAAATCCATGCTTGGCGAGAGGTCTTGCCACAAGCTGCTCAACAGCAGCAGTGAAAGGATTCTTCAGTTTGAATGGAAAACTCCTGGGAAATGCTACCCATGAAGCAGCACTTCAGCTGTCAGTGCTGTGCATTTATTATGCTCTCATCACACAGCTGGTTGGAATTGCCCATCTACTGACTCAGATGAACACAATACCACTTCAGACTGGGTTTAGAATCACTGGAGACAAAAAAAAAGTTTTGTTTCTTTCTAGAGCTCTGAATAAGTGAGCAAAACCACATGTACTTTCACTTAGAGCTCATTCCTTAAGGCAGTTCATTCAAACCAGCTCTATGAACATTTCCACTTTTCATATGAACTGTAAAGCAAGCAGAATTTGTTCTCCTTGTAGTTTCAAAAGTTAACAACAGAGGAAAGAACTGTATACTTCAATAATACAATAAATTTACTATTTTCAGGTGTATCTCACAAAATTATTCAGGCTTCATATGACAATCAATATGTTTAAGGGAATATTTTAAATGGTTATTTTAAATTAACTATTTTAAATGGTTAAGAAAGCGGCCTTTCTTTTGCATTCTTTTGCCTCTCCTTGTCAAAATTTCTCTTTTACAAAGAGAAATTTGTTGGATTTTTGTTTGATTGTTTCGATTATTGTTGATAAATAAACTTTTATACACAAGATTTCATTATGGTGATTACAGATAGGGGGGGAAGAAATCCCAGAAACATAAAAGCTACAAACGAACATTAAATAGACCCAGCAGTGCCGTTCCAAACTCTGGAACAGTAACTCCACTAGATGCCAACTGCTCTATCCAGCTCGGGAGGTTGGTAGCTCTGTATCCGAAACGAAGGGCAGACCCAGCTAAGGACCTTCCCCGCTCGTCCCTTTGGAGGGGAGCCGCGAGCCCTCGTGCTCGGCCCCTATCCCAGCCCTCCACGCCCGGGGCACTGCAGGCACCGGGAAGGGCTGGGGGCTGCTCCAGCCGAGCAGCTCCTGCCGGCAGGGCGCGACCGGCAGCGCACGGGGATCGCCGCGAAACTCCGTCAGCACAACGCGAACCACGGTGCTCGCCGCTCCTCTGCTTACGGCTCAAGAGAAGTGGATTACAGCCGGGTACGTCTCTGTTGGCGATGCCTGCCGGGGTGCGGAGCCCCGTCAGGAGGGCTGGCTGCCGGGCACGGCGCGGATACCGCGCGGGGCCTGGAGCCGAGGGGAGAGCCAGCTATCGCTATCTGCCCCTCAGCAGCAGAGCCGGGCCAGCGTGAGAGGGAGGGCCGCGAAGGGACTCGGGGCACCGAGGCGAGGGAGAGGAGCTGGCGGCGGGGCCGGCACTGACCTTGCCGGTGGTGCCGTCCCCCAGCACCACCAGCTTGAGCTGGCGGTCCGGACTCTCCTCCTCCTCCGAGTCCGACATGATCTCTGCGGCACCAGCGAGAGAGAGGCTGAGAGCAGCCGGGAGGAGCGGGGTGCAGGAGCGAGGACAGCACAGAGAGGAGAGCGAGCGCCGCGCTCACGAAGCCGGCAGCAACGGTGCAGCGACCACCGCCATCTTCCTTCGGCGCGCCCTCCGTCGCTATGGTCCGCGCGGGGCGAAACCACCAACAGCGCTCAGGGAAGGGGGGAAACGGTAAATTGAGGGCGGATCTACACCAACAAGTCCAGCTGCTGCTTCGGGACACACCCACTTCTTCCCCCACAGGATAGGGAGATGGTTCAGCCCGGCTGTCGGCCGCACGCCGCGGTGGCTCGGGCTCCGCAGTGACGCCGTGCGCGGTAACCAAGCAACGGGGGGCGGGGAGGGGGCGGGGCTAGGGTCCGGCCGCCCCCGCTGAGGGACGGGGCCGCCCCGTGTGGGGCTGGCCGGGGAGGCGGCGGGATTTGCTGTGGCAACTGAATAAATGGCTGTGGCAGGCAAATCATAGTCACTGTGTGGTTTGCGTTGGAAGGGGCCTTAAACATCATCTCATTCCAACACCCCTGCCATGGGCAGGGTACTTTCTCTGGACCCGGTTGCTCAGAGCCCCGTCCAGCCTGGCCGGGAGCACTGCCGGGGATGGGGCAGCCGCAGCTTCTCTGGCAGCCCCGTGCCTGGGCCTCACCGCCCTCACAGTGAACAATTTCTTCTTGATAGCTAATCTAACCCTGCACTCTTTCAGTTCAAAGCCATTCCCCCTGTTCTATCCTTGCATGGAGGTGTATGAAGTCCCTTGGTGGCTCTCATCCCCCCTTTAGGGGGATACACAAAGGCCGGTACAGTAAGGTCACTGGAGCATGTTCTGCAGACTGAACAATCCCAGTCCTAGGGACTCCACCACTTTCTTACACAGAAAGTGTTTCTGATTGCTTTTCTATCCATACAAGCAATCAGAAAACTTGTCAAGGTAGCCCTTGCTGAATTTTAGTCCATTACTTTATTACATATAAAATACATTATATAGCCAGGGAGAACAGGCTAAAACCTCCTCTTTTGCATCATCCTCCCCTGAGTTTGAAAACGGCCACTGTCCCTTCAGCCTGTCATCTTTCCCATAGACTAAACAACTCCTCTTCGGTCAGTCTTTCCCTCGGTTGTCTTTTCTAGACTTCTGATTATTCTCGTTGCTTTCCTTTGGCCCCTCTCCACTTTCTTGCAGTACTGTGCCAAAAACTGGATACAGTACTTCTGTTGAGGCCCTGGGAATACTGAGCAGAGTGGAAGTATTACTTCATGTGTCTTGCGTACGAGACTTCTGTTTGTATATCCCAGTATGATGTTTGTTTTCTTGACGGTATGACATTGCTGACTCATACGAATCCTGATTTACTAAAAGAGCCTCTGGATGCTCTCCTGTTATTGGGGTTTCATACATGTTGAAGTTTTATTTCTGTTTGACTGCAGTGCTTTCTGCTTTTCCCCATTGAATTTAATCCTGTTTCAGGCTACTTGCAACATTTGTCAATAAAATTTTATTTATAATGTTGTCGTCCAAAATGCATGCCAACCATCTGAACTTGCTTATATCTGGAAGTCTAAGAACCACACGCTCTATTCAAAAGTCATTAATAACGATATCCAATAGTACCAAATTTCTTCAAGCCTCTATTTGACATATTTTTCCGGTATGAGTGACAACAATTCTTTGGGCATTGTTTTTGTGACAGTTTGAACAGAGACATCTGGAACTCTTTTAATAGATGTATTTTAATGGATTCAATAACAAGCTAAGAATTTTTAGAACAACTTGGTATAATGTCTGAATACGAAGACATTATACAACTTTGTATAATGTCTTCATAGTTAAAGGAAATATATGAAGTGAGTTGAAAAGCACTGGAATTAACAAACAGATCACTAGAGTAAAAAAAAAAGAAACATTTATAGCAGTATAGAAATAATTTGAAACTCTTATACATTTTTAAAATACTAAGAAGAAATCCTTGAGCAGTTACTTTGAATGGAGTTTCCACTGAAAAGTGCCTGGGTCACCAAGTGACACAGAAAATAAATATATATTGTTAAATAAATATATTTTATTTGACATTCTGTCTGTATTTTGTAACTCTCCCTAAGTAGAATCATTGCAATTTCTGAATGAGTTTTTGGGAGACAGAGGTAGTAGAGTGTGACAGGACAGGCCAGAGATGTTTAGGAGAGGAGACAGGCAGCAGTGGAGGAGTCAGAGCTTATATGTAGGTAGGAAAGGAGGGCTGGAAAGGGAAATCTGTGGGAATTTCTGAAGGTCAGAGACAAGAGTGGGAGATTTTAGTATTCACTCTTCACAGTCCACATTTTTATGCAACATCTTCATCCATCTCAAGAGACCAAGCCAGCTACCCAGCTCACCTCATTTGGGTGTAAAGGAACTTTCTTCCTGGCCTCTGTGAATTTTTATGTTGCTCTTGTTCCCTTCACGTTTTCCCCTACAAACCTGGTTAAATTTTTTGGTGCAAGCCATTGATTTTCATTTCTGCTCATGTTCTGAGCTGGCAGTCAGAAATACTCTCTTTTTTCTCCTGTCATTTTGTTACAGTTTAATTAGAAAACTATTTTGGTAATCAGTTTCTGTTTGAAAAAATAGCACAGTTCCAGTTTTTGGTTCCTTTGCCTCCTTGTTCTTAAGTTACCCTGACTAAGTAATTGTGGCATGCACAGTCCACCATGTTTGCAAATGCAAACGACAAATGCAAACTAGACCTCTGAATGTGGGAGGCTTTTTTTTTTATAATATAGTATTGCATTCCCTTAAGCATCTACATTGCGTTCCCTTATGCAAGTATCTACAAAAGCACCAAAAATCGTTGCCTACATGGAAAATAGATGTATGCTTCTCCCAAGCTCTGAGAAAAGGTGTGAATCAAGCTGAATGGGGTGGAATCTGCAATGAGAGAAAAAGGAATAGCATGTGTGAGAGCCTTCAACCTTTTTGCCATCCTCTTCAAGAATGCAGGGTCATTAGCTACCAAGTCATCTGGGCTGTCCTTACAGCACTTGATGGAAACAACACACTTCTCAGAGTGATTGACATGAACTGTGTCCTCCGTTACCAATGCAAGACATTCTTTTAACATTTGTTCTGCTTTTTATTCCCATGCTTACACAACAATACTCATTCTCTTTTGAGTTTCATTCATACCATTTTTTCTGTTTCAAGTCTCTGTAGCTGGGATCTGCACACAGTCCTCTTCTTCAATGTGGAAATTGACGTTGCGTTTGTTTGAATGAGGAAAGTGTCCTTGAAAAGAAAAGTAAAATTGTTGCCACAAAAATGGAGTGTGCATTTAAAAAGAAAAAACACTTACTTCTATTATAATGTTGGGTTTGCCACTTATCTCTGGAACAGAGTAGAGAGCAGCTGTTGGTTTTAATTGCACTACAGATTTGCAAATAAAACCCAAATTGTTTCTACATCATCAGTATCATATCTAATGTCTTTACCAGACACTGTTTTCTTCTGCGCTGCTTGATGACTGTGCCTTGAGTGAAACTCAGTGATTAATGTCCCTGACTAGACAGACAACTGAGTGGAAATGGTAAATAATGACTTGTTTTTATACACATAAAAAACAGTTCCTACTGAAGTTGGAAATCCTTGCTTTTGGAAGGGCATTCTTCCATCTTGCTTCCTGCTAACCTAAGGTCACGTAAGGAGTAACTGTTTTTAATGCTGTTGATTGCAGTGATGTAAACGTCTCTGGCCCAGACGCTGCAGTGAACAAGACTTTCCACACAGGAATATGGTTAAGCTGAGGGCCGCAACTTTTATGAACTACATTGCCTAATAAAACAGAGAAGAACCACTAGCCAGCTGTTCCCCACAAACTACCCAGTAAAACAGGGCCAGTGAGGTTCACCAAGCACAAGACTGTGGAGGCCAAGCTAAATGTTTAAGAGACAGCTGACCGCATCCTCCCTCTGGCAATAGTGACCATGGTATGTGGTCCCACTGAAACTGTCTCCTCCTACACTGACTCTGCTGGTGAGGGGAGAGAAGTGTCAGCAGTAGCTTTTTAATTTATGTAAGGCACTGCCTTTTTCCCTGTATTGTGGAAAGGGAAATAGCTCACTGACACCTGGCTAGTATTTAAGACATGGACAGTAATTCTAGCCACAGTTAACGTGAAAAACCCACATTGGAAACCTGCTCTCCAGTTGTGTGAATGGACAAACAAGTTCTCTTGTCTTTCCACTAGCTGAATTTACTAATAAAGCCACACCACATTTTCAGTGTGGTAAACACCTTTTCTCACTAAAGCACACTATATAACTCAAGAGTATAAAGTCCAGCAACAGCAAGGCTAACAACAACAGTTACAGAAAGAGAAGCTGAATTTACTAATAAAGCCACACCACATTTTCAGTGTGGTAAACACTTTTTCTCACTAAAGCACACTATGTAACTCTGAGTCCAGCAACAGCAAGGCTAACAACAAGAGTTACAGAAAGAGAAGGGTCAAAAACACCTACAGAATAAGAACTAATTTTTAAATTAAGTACTTCTAACTTCTACTGAGATGGTCATGCAAGTTTGGAATTTCCCACATGAACACAGAGGATCACTGGGAACTCCTGTTTCTTGTCCCCAAACCACAATGCTTGTTGGAAAAATGGAGAAAGCTGTCTTTCTCAGTCTTGACCTGTTACCAGTTAAAAAAATAGCTTTTTCTTTTTTCCTTTTATAACAACATGGAAAATCTAGAATTATTTTCCAACCCATACTGCAGCTTTGGAAGGACACACCTGAATCACTGGTGTCCTGTTGTTGAATTCCTGAAGGATACCATCAAGGTCCATCACAAGAGCAGGAAAGCCTTCGCTCTCACCACTCTTCTTGGAAGTTTGTTCTAAGGCCTGGTGGTTTCACTCCATTGTATGGGTTTGCCCTTCCAGTTCTTCCCTGTCCTGCTGATGGTGGAGTGTGCAAGCAGCTGCGTGGGGCTTGGTTTGCAGCTGGGGTGAACCACAACATCCCACCTGATAGAGAAGCTTCCACCCAATCACTTGGTCTCTCTCCCTCAGCAGGAGCAGGGAGAGAATCAGAAGGAGAAAAGCAAGAGAAGATTGAGATGATCACAGTTTAATAACTGAAACAAAGCTACACACACAAGCAAGATTTTTTAAGGAAATTAATTCTCTATTTCTCATCAGCAGGCAGATGTTTAGATGCTTCCTGGAGGGCAGAGCCTC